ACAGGCAGGAAATACGAAATTCCGTTGACGTATTTTCGTTCCATTACGAACATTCGTTATATTGAAGGTAAAAAGCAAAGTACATTTATATTGGAGTTGATGGTAGTTTTTTTTAAAGTCCGAAATAAGGAATTCGGAATACGGAATCCGTTAACAGAATTCATATTTCGTTTTGGTTGACCAATCAGAGGTTCTATTCTGCTGCTGAGAGTTGCATTACAATACACAGGCAGGAAATACGAAATTCCGTTGACATATTTTCGTTCAGTTACGAACATTCGTTATATTGAAGTTAAAAAGCAAAATACCTTTGTTAATATATTGGAGTTGATTGATGGTAGTTTTTTTTTAATACGAAATACGAAATTCGGTACGGAATTCGTATTTCAGATAAAAAAAACAACTACCACATAGACTCCAATATTAACAAAGGTATTTTGCTTTTTAACTTCATCATAACGAATGTTCGTAAAGTTACAAAAATATAACCGCCACTAACGAAAATTCGTATTTCGTACGAATCCGAATTGAGTTCAGTTACGAATTACGAAATACAAAATAACGGATATTCCGAAACGAAACAGAACAAATTTTTTGACGGCGCACAAGTCTAGCATATATGTGCATCAGCCAGCTTCACTGTTCTGTGCTGAGAGCGCACTCACCGGCGTGTGACAGAGCTGTCATTGCCAGCTCTTGGTCAGAGTTTGTGGTGGGACAGGCTTATGATCATGTGACAGTCAGTCACATGATTAGGAAGCCCACCACAAACCGCTGGCCTTCAGGTAGAAGTAAAGGTAAAAAAAAAAAAGAATGACTGGCTTTCTATGGCAAGAGAAACCGTTCTGCCATAAAAGCTTCTTTTTACCATTCAGCATTTTTTTTCTCTGTACGCTAAGTCGCGCCTGCGCAGCTCAATGCAAAAACTCAGCATGCAATTCTCTTGTGGATACCCACATTATCGGGACCTGGCCAATCTAGCAGCCAACCCAGAAAACCCAGAAGAGGACCAAGCCAAAGATGGAAGTGCTAGAGAGGCAGGAGTGCGGTGCTGGATGTGATCGGTATGGAAGGTAGGTCTGCCATACTGTGCTAATATGTTATGTACACTAGCTAGGGATGAGCCGATACCGTTTTTTTGGTATCGAGTACAAGTACCGGTATTTTTTTGGTACTCGCCAATACCGAATACCGTAAGTCCCATTAAGGAAGCCGGGTGGCGTGCAATAACTGGCTGCCCGGCTTCCTGATTAGCCGGGAAGCCGGACGGCGTGTAATGAATTGCCACCCGATTAGGCGGGAAACCGTCTCCATGCTCTCTCATCACCAAGTGAGCAGGGGGCGGGCCAGCTTTCCGACCAATCAGGAAGCCGGGTGGCAAGTCACCACACGGCGTCTGGCTTCCTCATTAGCCGGGAAGCTGGCTACATGCTACCTCCTCACCAGGTGACGAGGAAGCATAGAGCCAGCTTCCCGACCAATCAGGAAGCTGGGCGGCGAGTCATTCCCCCCAGTCCGGCTTCCTGATTGACCGGGAAGCCAGCTCCACGCTCCCTCGTCACCAAGTGACAAGGGAGCATGGAGGCAGCTTCCCGGCCAATCAGGAAGCTGGGCGGCGAGTCATTCCCCCCAGTCCGGCTTCCTGATTGACCGGGAAGCCAGCTCTATGCTCCCTGGTGATGAGTTAGCACGGAGCCGGCTTCTCAGCCAATCAGGATGCCGGGCAGTGTGTAATGATGCGCCTCCTGGCTTCCTTATACCAGAAATTCGGGATAGCCATCGAACCTATTTCAACTTTAAGAACCTTTGAAAGGACCGTCGGGAGTGAGCGGCTTGGGTTTTACCTATATCTCTAGTTGTAATTTATAATATATGGCAAGAAACAGTATTTGCCATCACTTTGGGGAGATATCCTCTCACTCTTTGTCATGCCGAGTTCCCTTCCATACCGAACACACCGGAAATACACTGAAACCTTCATCATTAGACATTTCCATACTACTGAAGGACAGGTGCTCTTTATTTAGGGAGATCCTGACATTTTGACCTGTTCTGTATTGTTCTGGGTTTGCTGGGAAGCACCATGCCATCATTAGTTTACTGCTGAATAAATGTCTCAGGCACAGCAAACATGATGTCATTGGAATAATGCCGTAGGACAGACATGTTGCACTAAGGTGTAAAACTCGGAGAATGTGATTACTAAAAGATCCTGCCCATCAGAAACAATTTGCTGGTGCACAAAGTATCTGCGTAATTAAGGCCATACATTAAATGTGTACAGCTATAGAGTATCTGTCACATTCCTGAAGCTCACATATAAGCTTGGCTGGTGCTATCTCCAGTCCACCTTCTCCAGATCCAGACACGACGTCCATAATGAAGGGCTCAGCCTTTTCTCAGAAGACCTGCTCTCAGAAGACTGTGAACCCCGAGTCCAGCAGGACCAGGGGTTGCACGGTGTCCTTAGGCAGTAACGTGAGGGATGGGCTGGAAGCTGAGGTAGAGGTCACCTCAAAGGTCTACATCCACCGCCCCAATGAGAAGGAAGAGCTCCAGCAGCTCAACAACCGCTTTGCTGGTTATATTGATAAGGTCCGATCCTTGGAGCAGCAGAACAAGGCCCTGAGTGACGAGATTGAAGAACGGAGCAGGCGTCTCAAGGAAAGGGGACCTGGCATATCAGACGAATATGAGAAACAGTTCAAGGAGGTCAAGGAACTGATCGAGAAGCTGAACAAAGAAAAGAATGCAGCGAACATTGAGAGAGGGAACCTGGAAGAAGAGATTGACATCTGGAACGCCAAGTGTGATGAGGAGCTTTTCCTGAAAGGTGAGAAATCTGCACAACTTCCAACTTTCTGAGATGACAAAGAGGGATTCCTTCCCCACAATGTATTTGGCAATGGACACACCCAAGTTATACGGACCATTAGGTATATATATATATA